CAGGCAATGTTTTATTAAAACATAAACACAAACAAAATCCCCCCAACAGCAACACCAACACCAACAGCGGCATCAGCAACTATGACAGCGCCAGCCAGGACACCAACAGATTGAATAATGGCACAGGTGCTCCTCGTCGGCGGCAGAGAAAGTGGGGAAAGTGCTGCGGGCTGCTGGATAAATTAAAAACAAAAAGTACGAGGATATATACCGAGAATTCATCGCATTAAATTAGAGCTGAGGTAGAGCAACGGCTGCCAAGGTAACTTTTTGTTATTATTTTTCAATTTCTTCGTCATCTGCTGGTGCTTCTCGGTTGCTGTTCCTTCTTAGCCAGAGAATTGATGTCATTTTTCAAGTGGCTTATGTGTATGCGGGCCGGAGCCTGTGCATTGCTAAACAATTTTTGATTATGTTTTGCTGGGAAACTCAATTTTGTTGGCCACATCGAAAACAATAAGAGCTTGCAAGGCTTTCCCGAAGTTATTTTTCTTCATTTTTCGCAGATGTCAGAGGTGATTTTCATTATACAAATATTAGCATTTGCAGAAAATAGTACCCAGAATTGCTTGCAATTAAATTCGATTTAAATTTCTTGTTAACCTGGCCACTTACCTTTACCAATTCAATCGGCCAACTTATGCGCACGTTACGCTTTCGCTTCTGGTTTTATTTGATCGTCTTTCAAAGGCAATTCATCAATTTGACTGGCATGTGCACATAAATCAACCCAAACAAAACCATGAAAAAGGAAAGCCGAAAAGGGAAAACTCTTCAAAGCCATTTATAGTTGTATTTACAGATGCGAAAGCGCGTTGCAACCGACAAAATATGTATACACACACTTTTATACACTCACCCCCAAGGGGGAGGGATGATGCATGTAGATTGCCACTTAACAGCGAAATAAAGTTCTGTACAAATTTTTAATTGAATGGCAGCGCATTGAAAAACTTTGCGTTGCCACTAAAATTGATTACACTCACAGCAGACCCGCCACTCGAGGCGAAACTTTCGAGATACTCTCGCTCTGTACTGCAGCCTGCGTTGAGATATTGGGGAAATTATTGAAGCAGAAATCGGCACTCGTGTCAAATGCATAACGTTGAGCTCAATACCGATGGCGATAGCTATTCCCAGGACCCTGCGGCAGCAGAAGGAGGCCTGTCGTTTTGCCGGCATGTTGCAATTTATTCTAATCGCTTGTCGGAGAAAAAAGAACCCCGATGGATGGCAGGCGATGCGTGTAACGATGCTGCATACGAAGTCAACGGTAAACCAAAGCAGGAGACCGTAGACCGGAGACCAGACCCGGCCAGGCCAGACCCGACCAGGCCAAAAAGGTTGCCAATTGAGTGGCGCCAATCAATCTGCAGCCGCTCTGCGAAAGTGTGTCAAAAGCGTTGCCCAACTAAGCTGGAGTGAGCTGAAGAGCGTTAAACTCCGGCCGGATGGCGGAGGGACTGAAGGGCGTATGGACGGAATGGCGGACTGACGGCTTGTTGTGTCGCTTATGGCACTTAATTGACGCCAATCGCATTGACTTGCAGTCACTCCATTCAGCCTCTGCTGATGGCAAGAAAAATCGCAGCTCGTTAGTGCTGCGAACATACGTTTCAGGTTTCCTTCTCGTGGGGGTGAAGCCGGTAGAGGGAGGGTTAACAGCTAACAGGTAGCAGGTACCAGGTACCAGGTAACTGGTAATGGCGCAAGGGGCTCTCCATCTGCCATTGATGCCAAATTGCCATTCCCGATTTTCAGTTAGCACAGGTTGACAACAGATTATTAAATGCCAGTAACAGGCAGGCAGTCCCAGGGATTTTTCAAGCGATTAAGTTTCTTTCTGAAAGAGGAAAACTAACAGCTACTTTATTATATTAATTAAAAATATGGAATACAAGAATGAAAGTTTACACCTATTAATAAACAAGTTAAAAGTCTATAAAATGCATTTGTTGTATGTTGAAAATAATTTTGATTTGAGGAAAGCTCTACCTAAAATCTTTCCAAACAGCAATCAAAGAAAATTCTGTTTTATATTTATTTCTATAAATTTTTTGTGGTTACAGTGGATTTTCCTTGATATCCACCAAGCCTGGAGAGGCAGCTCTCTATGGCTTGGCAACCGCAAATCAGTTAAGCTACCAAATCAACAGCCAGCAAAACCAACGCCGGCGACAACTACATGACAGCCGACACAGACATACGCCACACACACACAGCACTTACACCCACAGATCCTTGCAATGCTCTCCTCCTTAAAAATCACACCCTTGTTTGTGTATGTGCGGGCGTTTGTTAATGATTATTTGACGCCATGTTTGATTGACGTGCAAACGCCTGCTGCTGCTTCTGATGCTCCAACAGCCTCTTATTGTATAAATTTTATTATCCATGTATGTGTGCACACCTCCTTGCCCCCCTCGTCTCCGTCCGCTCCTCCCCGACTGGTTGTGTTAATGGCCGCCAAAGACCGCAATAACCACAAGGCACTTATCAATTTCTGCGCCTTAACAAAATGGCACTCGAGCGTGTATTTGTGTGCGCACTTCCGTTGATATCAAAGACATATGTATAGCCGCCATGAGACGGTGTGTGTGTAGGTGTTGCTGTGTGGGTGCCTGCATTAATATTCCGTTAAATTGACATTTACATGATGAAGACAATGATGATGAAGGCGATGATCATGTCGCTGGCGCTGGTGACGAACGCTCTAAATGGTTGCTTGACTTTTCCCCCGGTGAAATTATTCAAGATCTAATTTATCTTCATCAATGCAATAAATTCCATGGAAAATCAGAAACCAAAACAGTTTTCACAAGTGTTTATTTGCCATTTGAGACTTTAACTATCAACATTGCTGAGAGCTTAAATAATAATTATTAATTATTTGCAGCGCACTTGCACTGGCAGTATTGTATATAAGTTAAAGACCATTTGCTGGCGGCATATATATAGTATATTATAAATAAACCAATAACTCAAGGCTACTTCAGCCTAAGCTAGAAATATGAGTAGAAATTAAAGCCTGAATAGAAATAACAATTGCAATTAAAACACATGAGAAAAGGATTTCTCGTATAAAGGACAAAAGACAACATGTTTTGATTTAATTTTATTCCATTTCAACACAAGTTTTTTGACCAAACTAATCACTTAGACGCATCGATCTGTTTTCTCTTGACGTTGACAACTACTTTGGCAACACTTTACAGCCTTTTTTGGGAGTAAGCTGCTGCAATTTTTGGGCAATTCCATCTTTTTTTGTTTTGGCCCCAGCAACAGTCTAGCAGCGCTCTCAGCAATTTGCTTACATTCAACTCAGCCATGTCCAAAATGGCAGCAACAAGCTTCTGCTTCTGCTTCTGCTGTGTGTGTGTGCTTGATGTTGTTGGATAAACTATGTAGAGTCCTTGAAAAACATGCAGGCCATAGGAGCGGAATGCCAGCGGCGGCAAAAACAACGAGCAGCGCAACAAATAGCAAAAATAGAAAGGAAAAGTTAACAGTTGACATAGTTTAGAGTTGCTTGGTCAGACGGAGGCTGTCAAGGGGATGTTTCGAGGGGTTTCGTGGGGCTTCGAGGGGATTTGCCAAGTGCGGCGTCAAGGGGGAGTGGGTGGGTGCTGGGTGCTGGGTTCAACAGCCACAAGCGTAAGCCGTTGAATGCGAAGCGGAATGAATGTCTTAATCAGAATGCTGGGATGTGGGGGCAGTGGCGGTAAGAGTGGGAAATTGGTGGCAAACTAAATGAATTTAATTGCCGCAGGATATGAAAGTAATTATTTTGCAGTGCATAGACACAACACTGCCAGTCGTTCGTCCTCTTGGATGGTGGGGGCGTAAGCGTGCCACTGGGCGTGGCTCTCTGGTTGTGTGGAGCCCCAGCTAAAAACGCAATGAGGCCAAAGGCGAGTGCTGTTCTTTCGTCATTGCCTCAGTGCATCCGATCCGATGCACTTGCACTTAACAGCAAACGGGCGTTCAAATCGCCATGCCCACGACCCCCCACCGACCACGCCCACGCCTCTCTGACTGCCACGCCCACATGCGATGCGACGCACCACTGTCAATTGCCCCGCGGTTATTTTGAGTTGTTCTTTAATTTATTCTCTTTCATGCCTGTGCGTTCGTTGTCCTTCACCAGTGAACGGATGTGTATGTCGGCATTAGTACAAGCACTGAGAGAAAAGTATACTAAAATACATCTTAAACTAGCAATATTAGTTGGAAATACTTAAATCGGTATCTAAATATATAAAAATATTTATGGAAACCACTTTCATTGTTTTCTTTTATATAGAAAGTGTTTCCAACAGTCAGATCCCGGATGTTCTTCGAACAAATACACATGTTAAAACATAAAACACCAAATTTTTTTTTTTCTAATTTTCCAAACTATTTTACTCCCTGTGCAGCTCCACTAAAGAGCCTGTCGTAGCAGCAGCAGCAGCAGATGCTCTACAAAAGGCAACGATGTGTTACACTTTCAATTGTCGCTGTACCTCAATACTGCGAAGTCTGTGTGTGTGTGGGATGCGATGTTTGTAATGCTCCTTGTTTACATGGTGGCTATGTTCTGCTGCCTAGATCAACGCTTCTTTCTGGCATTGTTAGTGGCAGGACCTTGTAACACTTTCGATCAAACACGCACAACAACAAACACACATCCACTCACGGAAACGTGCAACAAATGAACGATTCTGAAACTCAATTCCAAGTCCAATTATGACGGCTCATAGCTCTGAATAGTTAACCCTTCTATAAATATATTTTAAATAGTAGCTTTAATTTATGTTTATTTTAGTTTTTTTGTGAAAATTAAAGGAATGAACATTAGTTCTAAAAACTTCTTGTCATAAATTATAATTCTTGGATTAAATTATAGTAGATCTCCTCCTTCAAAAACCTCTGTTCTCCCATTTAAACTCAAAATAATTTTCAAAGTTTCTATTAATTTATTTTATTGTAAATGAAATGTTTCTAACCGGGTGCTTTGCTCACTGTTCCCGCTCGAACTGCGGAGAACGAACGTAGACGGGTGCCGGGTGGGTGAGGCCGTAGTTGCGGACCACCTTTGGGTAGTTGGAGGCATACTCCTGCTTGGGATAGCTGGCTGGTTGATAAGCAGAGACCTCCTGGTTGGCCCTCGACCGCTTACCGCCCCTCAAGGGGAATCCTACGGGCTGGTAGTAGAAGCCATTGTAGGCGTCGATCAGGTGGCCAAAATCTACTTCGTCGCCGACGGAACGCTTGTCTCCATCGGAGTGGTGGTGCTTGGGTGGCGGGGGTGGAGGAGGGAAGGGGTAGTAGTAGGGTGGGTAGCCGTAGGGGTAGAAGGGAGGATAGGGATATCCGCCATGACCATGACCATTTCCGTGACCATGACCGTGTTCGGGCTTCTTTGTGGTCGTTGTTGTGGTTGTAGAGGTATCAGTGCCATTGACCACCAGAATGCAGTTGACAGTGGTCACATCATCGTCGTCACCTTCATTACTGCTGCCTCCGCTTCCATGCCCACTTCCATGACCACTTCCGTGTCCACTACCGTGTCCACTGCCATGTCCACTTCCATGCCCCGAACCCGATCCTGAACCCGAGCTGGAGTCGGTATTGGGCTCGTACTCAATGCTCACCACACGTCCCAGGCGCCTGTCCTCCTCTCCATTTTCCAGATCATTCGTAGAGATCACGCACAGGGGACGTCCCTTCTTGTTCTGATCCTTGGAGCCGGAGCTAAAGATTGCTGGGATGAAGCTGCCGGCAGCAAATCCAGAAGCCAGACCCTTGATGCCAGCAATGGAGCTGCTAAGAAGACGGGCCTCGGACACCTCATCCTTGCCCTGGGTCAGCCTGAGGAGCTCGTTGTACTCCTGCCGAGTCACGGGGTGCAGTTTCACCAGCTGAGGACGACTCCTGCCTGTGGCAAGGAGCGAAGATTAGCTTTCTTCCAAAGACTCGGGCCAAAAGAACTTACCCGCTTGGACTGCCGCGAGGCTAAGCACGATCGCTGCTAGAACTGGAAAGAACTTCATGCCGATTGCGAATAAGCTCCACTGACAGCGCTCACTCGCTTATATATTTTAAAAGTCTTGCTCTTGGTAAGCAGCCGGAATGAAATTCCCTTTCGGCATTGTCATTCAAATGGATCAACCCAAAATTGCTCATCTACAGTTAAGGCATCTCCCTAATCGACTCTGATCTCCATAATTTACGCGTTGACCCAGTTCTTTCTGGCAAAGACCAGCGCCCTGCCCATACTGGTCTTACTAATGGCTAGTTGGAGCAGCTTTATGGCCAAAACTTAATTCTCTTGTCCATGTTTCTGACTGAGTGATAATGATCTTTTAGTTATGACTTGGCTCATCACAGCAATGGATCGCTCATGGGTATTAGTCATAGCTAAGAACATGGATTTATTAGAGTGGATTCTTTAGACTTCTTTAATGTTTAGTTTTTATTAATTAAGTAAATATTTCAGCTCAAAGAATATAAAATTCTAGACCCACAAAATAGTAACCAAATAAAATAGGTATAAATATAGTTTTTCGGATATTTTATTGTCTGTAATTATAAGGTTCACTATAGTAGGGATAATAACGCTTCTTATAGTCATCTTCTTCCTCGTAGGAGTCCTCATCTTCATCATCCTCCTCCTCGGCTTGTTGGGGTTTCTCCGCTTCCTTAATAGCAGCCGCTTGAGCCAACTGGGACTGATCTAGGTAGGGAAAACCATAGCCATAGGGATACCCTTGAGGCTGTGGACCATAGGGATTGACATAGGGCTGTTGCGGCGGAAATTGCGGTTGGGGAGGGTATGGTGGCCCGTAGGGTGGCAGTGATCCATAGGGACTTTGTCCATATAGAGCTTGAGGACCAAAGGGCTGTTGGCTAGGATAGGGACTGTAGGGATAGCCACCATAGGCAGAGGAAGGGGGATAGGGCGCCCCAAACTGAGGCTGCAGTGGATAACCACTATATTGGCGTGAACCGTCAGAGTCCTCATCCAAGCTGGCTGACTTGGGATAAGTGCTCTTGTTCATTTTCTGCCTTTTCAATGGGGCTGCAGTGGTGAGCTCAACCTCCTCCTTTTCCACTTCCTCCTGTTCATCCTTCATCTGTTCAGGCTGCTTGACCGCAGCGGAATCTTCCACAGGTTGTGTCGCCCAATATTGGGAGTAGTTTGGATGAGGATCTTGGCTAAGCAACTCTTGATCAGGCTCCTTCTTCAGCACCACGATACAGTGAATGGCGGAATCTTCATCATCGGCCTCAATGCCCTTGCCCGAACTGCGAGCGGAGGCCACCTCCTCGTTCCTACCCACAGGCTCGTCCTCTCGGGTCTTGATCACGCACAGGGGCTGACTTTCAAAGTCCACCTTCTCAGCCTCGTCAGCCTTGCTGACTGTGGTGAGACCCACGATCCGAAGGAGAGAGTGCCAGCCGGAGCTGATGGTCTCGCTGAACGACTCGCTGACGGTGGCAAAGCCTCCGTTGATCAGCCTGGCCTCCGATATCACCTTCCTGCCCTTGGTCAGCTGCAGCATGCGCTCATATTGCTCTTGATTGATCTCGTATACTCGCACCAGCTGCTCCCGGTTAGCTTCGGATGGCGAAGGTGGCGGGGCTGTAATTTATTTGGTTCGTAATGAGTTCTAGGAGTAGCTTCAGATTCGGAGGTTCACCTGTCTCTAGGCTGGCGCACAGGGCCAACAGCACCAGCAGGGCCAGGCATTTATCCATTGCCATCTGCAACATGCTCCAACACCTGGACAAGAACGGACTAAAATGCGTTCACTCTGCTCTGGTTTTATTTATACATTTTTCTAGAATTTATGTCGAGCGAATAAAATCGAACGGTACACAAGCCGCCCCGAATTTGGAGACGAATTGCAATTAAATAAATATTGGACTTCAGGCATCGCATCATCATCATCATCAGCATCACTCTCGACAACATCGCTCCGAATCGATTTGAATAAATTAGGCAAATTTGATACACATTCGGTGACGCCCCAGAGCAGAGTCAATGAACGCATTATAAGCATTCCTAGACAAGCTGAGACGAACAGGTTTTGCCTGAGCAAATTCAACTCAGATCAGATGTCAATCTGGATAAATATAAAGGGTTAATGAAAGGGTGCATGCTAATGGAAATCTGCAAAAGAATGTGGGCTAAGTCATTAAGTTTTTTAAAGATTTTTTTAAATGTTAAATTCAACAAGCTGGCAAATGTGTCGGCAGATTCAGAGTTAAAATATTTAAAGAAGACCCAATTAATACCTACCCAGTATTTCCTCTTAAAAGAAATAATCTCAAACCTTTGGTTAAATTTTCTAAATCATATTTTTATTGAATCGATTTGGTTTCTTTTCACAAAAATTCTCGCCTGCAGTGTCCGTGTGTGTTAGTTGTCGCTGTTAAACAATCCTATCTGTATATGCATATGTAGGGTACCTATGGATACGCACACGTAAATGTATTGAGAGTACCTGGTTTAAATATGTATATACTTTTGTAGCTGCAATGCTGTGACATACACTCATGGGTAATGTATTTGCTAGGGTTTCGTTCGTTATTGTTTTCGATCGGGAACCGACTCCGCTCTCTCTAGTTAATTGCCAGCTCAGATTAGTTCGAGATCCAATCACTCTATTTACAAATTTCAGGACGTACGGAGGTCCTGGCCAGGGGTCCATATTAAATTTAACTAGTTTTTACTATTATTCAAATTGTTTTATGTCTCGTGTTGCGTGTTAGTTAATTTTAGGTTGCGTGTGTTGCACTCCAGGCTCGCGTCGGGGTGCTGCTTACCAGCTAAAAACGGTCCGCAACATTCGAATCGTATTTATCGGCTTTATCTGTTTATATCATTTAAGAGTTAATTAAAATTACAATTTCGTCTACTAATGAATTTATTTACAGTGCCTGCGCATTTGCATGGCAGTCGTATCAATTATATCGATAAGCACAATTATAAATTGCATTTATTTTCAAATTTCGCCCCCTTTTGTGTTTGGTTTTTTTGGTTTTCTGTTTTTTTTTTTTTTTTTGTTGTGTTCTAGCCAAAACTAATTATATACAATTAAACGAGTTTATCCCGCAATTGGGTCTGACACAAACAAGGTTCGAGTGCTGACGCATGTATGAAAGCATACATATCGGCTTATCGACTATACATTCACAATCGTATCTAACGTAGCTAATGCCTAAAACTTATAAGTGTGCAAAGCAAATGAGTTGCACTCGAACATAAAACAATGCGTTGCTCCTGCTCCTAATTGTTTTGCAAATACCTCCAAGTGCTCTTGGTTAAATATTTCCCTCGAACGGCAATTATTTACAGCGAATTTCAATCCAATTTCTGACTCAATGGGTGGCTACTGGGTGCAAGGTTGTCGTTGGCAGTTAGAGATTGCATAGAAGAAGATTACTGTGAGTCCAGGGAAAAGGGTGCTTGTCGGGTGTTCCGGGCATTTCAGAGTATTTATAGCTAGTAAGTCTTACTTCATAATGAGAGTTTGGATATTTTATTTTTTCTGTGGGTTGTGCAGTCGATATTTGGCAGCAGAAAGGGATCAATCAAAGGCTACATAACAGTAAGATGCATAACGCCAATACCTTTGAACTTCCATAAGTAAGATGAAAGATTGTGTATTTCGAAAGAGTCTGGTGGCGTTATGCATCTTACTATTATATTGTCCTTGCTTCAACAGATACCGATACCCGGATATCGCAAATCGATAGATATTTCGGTTATTATTGGCCATCGATTGTCACTTGTGGGGTTTCTTTAAACGGGAAATTGATACAGTCAGTCCGGAGTTTAGTTTTAGAATCAGATATATAGGTAATGCTCAAGAAATATCAGTATATGGTTGCGGGGAGTCTATCAGTGATGATCACTTACTGCCTAGCGGTTATCGGTAATTAAACTAAATCAGAACGTATGGCAAATAATATTATCTTAGACCAATTGTTATGTCTCTCTTATCTTCGTTAAATACTTTTTCACTTATCAGCTAATATATATGTTTTCTGTCCACTAAGTGCATTCATCTTAGAAGTTTGTAAATACCTATGCTTGACCCCCCATGCGATACATAAAAAACTTAAATCACCTTGAATATGTGTACTATGAGTGAGTGCGTGTGTTTGTGTGTGGCTTGGTGTGGTTGTGTGTGTACTTTTGCCTTTTTAGTGTTTCACTGCGTGTTGATTATTCCTTCATCTCATGCACTGAACCGCCGCTGGGCGTTCTCTCAACATGTTGCACGTCGCTGGCATGGATGTTGCTCCTACTGTTGCCGTTGCTGCTGCTGCAGTTACTCGTGTTTCGCTGTTCGTTAGCGCCGTTCGCTTCGGGGGACGCAGTGCCGCCGAGTTTGCCGCCGCTGCCGCAGCATGGATATATCCACACCCGGCCTCGTAGAAGTGCTGCAGGCAGCAGGAGACAATGCTCAGCAGCATGCAGCAGATGCCGCAGTAGAAGCTGTTGCTGTTGCTGCTCGAATTGTGTTGCATGGCCGCCGGGTGCTCGCCTGTTGAAAAGCGAAAGCAAACACGGGTTTAGAAATGGTGAAAGCCATTAGTGTCCTAATTGCAATTCGACACAGTTCTCAATATCTTAAGGTTATGATCATTTCTAATTACGTTAAGAGGGAAATATTAAAAAACATTTGAAAAAAAAGAAGAAAATAATATAATTAACTTTATTTTTCATATCGCTCAACCGGAAATGAAGCAAGCAATCAGTCGCCTTTGAGTCTTCGCCTGATAACATCGACTTGGGCTCGCTTGCCTGAGTTTCCTGTTTGTGCCAAAGAAAAACATCGGCCGCTCAAGTTGTTATAGTTCTCGATGAGCTCTCGAGCACACAAGCTCTGCTGCCATAAAGCTGACAAGCTCCTCGAGTCCCCACATGCCCCACCGTTATTGGCTGGCAGAAAACTTTCTAGCTGGCTGCAGCAGCAACTAGAAATAATTTCCGTGCTGCTGCACAAATACAAACATGAGGCAGCAGGGAAACAAAAACAAAAACAAGTTTTACAAAATCTGAAAAGAGGCAAGCAGCAATTTCTCGCCGACTCGGCTGCAATGCAATTACTGCACGGCCACGCCCCGTTTTGCACTTGGCATTACAAATTGCGAAAGTGGCGCTGCTAACAGGCAACTTCCACTTCCCGTCATAAACATGCAAAACTCTCTGACAGCTCAAACACCGGCAGGAGCCCAAACACACACACACATAGACACACACCTGCAGGACTGCAGTCCTTACTTACTTACCAATAATTACGTGCACATAGACGCTCGAGGTTTTTGCCACCGTCGGCACACAGGTGTAGTTGCCAGTATCGCCGGGCATGGCGCGCTTGATTTTTAATCTGTGCCGCGGGCAGGAGGAGCAGGAGGAGTTCCGGGAAAGAGAAGAGCATAGAGAAAGTGAATGGCTGTGGGGGAATGCATGTGAAACAAAGGCAAAAAGGGAAAAGGCCAAAGAATGTCGGGGAAAAACATCAAGGAAAAAAATACAAAACTTTTGCTACTTTATGCGATGGCACAATGTGTACCGAGCTGCCTCCACCACTGACTCTAATTCGAAGTCACTTTGCACTCAGAAAAATTTGGAGAAATTTAAAGAAGCAAGTACTTGAAAATATTATTAATTTAATATAATTTAATTACACATATCTTTTCAAAAATTTCTTCTGTCTACGAACCCTTTTTTTTTGACATTTTAAGTTTAAATATTATTATTTTTAAATATCCATCTCGTAAAATATGTAGTATCTCTAACATAATTAATAATTATTAATTATTACTATAAGCATCTCTTAAAGGTTCATGTTTCTTTTTTATATTGTACAACATTTTCCAAGATAATTCCTCAGTGCCCTTTCCCACAGCTTCTCCAGAGTGCTCCTAATCCTTGCTTTTACCACTCTCCTTTCATCTCTGTCAGCGGCACCTGCATTTTATGGTCGTCTGCGTCGTTAGTTAACAGCATAAATGGGCAATGATCACGTGGCGGCAACTGAAACCGAGCAAGCAACTACTGCTGTAGCCCCCGAGTCCCGGAATCCGGATACGGATCCAAATCCGACTGCTACTACTGTGACACCGCAGACTTTGCGACTTTGACTAAGGCAAATTAAAAGTCACACACGGCTAACTCGAGTACAAAGTAGAGTGATGGTAGGGCACGGCGAGGGAATCAAAACCAGATGATACCCTACTTACTGGAGCTAAGCTTCATTGGGAGAGTGAGAGCAGTTTGAGGAGATATTAAGCTCAACTTAAGGATAATATATAAAGAAAGTGTTTTGTTTACTAATGAAACTTAGTTTGTGTTGAATGTTTTAAGATTATACTTCAATTCTCCCTTTATTAGTTGTTCTTTGGGGTATTTGTAAAATGTTAAATTCGGACGATTCCTTACTATACCTTTCAAAATTGATTCCAAATAGTAGCTAATTATGGTATGTATTATATCATCGTTTAATATATTTCTTCCACATTTCCTGTGACTTTAAGCTCCTCTAGGTCTAGTTCTAGTTCTCCCTTCCAGTGTGAAGGCAGGGCCACCTGCCTAATCCACCCTTAGTTTTGATTTGGACTTCCAGACTGGCGGAGGGTCCTCCAGCCGGAACTCGTCCTTCGCTTTGGCCTTAAAATGTCATTCAAAGTCGGGGTCCATGCTGCTAGCACTGCAGGACTGCAGGCCACATCGACTACCGCCTGCCGGCTGTGCTTTAAATTCCCCGCTCCAAATGGCGGCTCTGGCCTTAATTAAGTGAGGCGGTATTTTAATGCGAAATAACTGAAATGCTCGGCACACATTTGCACGTTTGCCAGGTGGCAGAATGGCGAAATGGCGAAATGATGGGCGAGAGGAGTCGTTACTATACTTGTACATACCTCGAAGTCAGGCCGTCGGTCCAATCATCCTCGACACGAATCCGGGCCATGGAGCTGTCGATTTCGTTCTCGCCCTTGCCGTCGAGCATTTCGCTGCCTGCAAATGGAATGGAATGCGAGGAGTAGCAAATTGAATTGCGTAAATGAGGTGCATGCTGCCGAGGCCGGAGTTCATTACGCATACGCACCTTTGTACCAGAATATGTTGCCCAACTCGTGGGGGCCCTGCATAATTTTGCAGGTTAGGTTGATGTCGCTGCCGGTTTTCACCATCAGATCGCTGGGCCCGAAGATTTCCGCTTTGAGTTCTGCAAGAGGACAAAAAGTCACTTAAGTTGCTGCTGCCACACAATGCCAAGTCTGCTCCGTAACAATGATAATAATAATAATGTTAATGATAACGTCCAAGTGCACGTTTGTCTGGGAGTGGAGGAAGGACTGGGACTGATACTGGAACTGGGAGCTGGGCTCTACTTTATTACACAGACGCGTGTCTCTATTATGCTGGCGATAAGCTTTTGTTATGCCATATAAAAGGCAGTCGTCGACTCATACGCCCCGTGGTACCTGCACCTCGAAGCTGTTGCCTCTTTTTCCTTGCCTTCTCTCCCGACTCTCCGTGGAATTGTCTAAAAAAGACAAAGCGCGCGCGACTGGCAGATTGGAAAGAATTTTCTGCTTTCCATTTGGGGCACAAAATCAAAATGTCAACATTGAAGTGCCTTTTGTTGTTACAGCGTCAATGATTTCAATTGCGAAATATCATCGTGGACAGCCCCAAAAATGCGATTTGTACTTAAAGCTTATGATGGCTGACAGTTGCCTTAATGGAAAATGTCTCAGCCGCCTCTCGAGCTCACTCACTTCCCAAAGCGAGCGTTAAATGCGACTTCGTACTCCGTTCCCTGCTCCACTTTCGCTCTCGTAAGCAGCTGAAAATGGAAACTTTTCAGGTCCTAAACAACCGCAAAGCCCGTGGAAATAAATTGCAGCCATAAGAGACGAGGGAATGGAATGGCTTGCAACTGGCACATTTGTATAGTACACACACACACACACTCCAGCCTAGATGTGGCTAAGCTTTGCTGCGGGTTGCCTGCCATTCAATCGTGTGGCAAAAACCGAATGAAACCAAATTTGAATGCTACAAGAGGCTGAAGGAAAAACTAGGACTGATGACTTTTCCATAACTCTCTCTATTTCCTTCTATTCCCAACTTTAAATCGGTCTTTAAATCAGGTGTGCGAGTGTGACTCTCTGTCGTGCTGGGGTCCGCGTCCCAAAAATGTTAATCTAAATGAAATGCCAAGTAGAAAAAGTAATATACCGCCCGAAACAAAGAAGGCCAACAAAAAGCGGAGCCAAACGAATGGGCCGGAGCAACCCCAAATGGAATTCGAACATGCTGGGCGATTATCTGGCTGTTTTATAGACCCGCACATATATATAGGTATATGTACATGTAGGTGTGAGTTTCCCTCCCGAGGAAAGCGCTGAGTGCGGCACCTTGTTGTTGGCTGTTGTTGTACCTGGCAAAACAATTGTGGCAGCGAAAGCTAACCGTCTATGACTTCTGCCAGCCCCGGTGCAGGGAGCAAGGACTTGCGGCCGGGAAAATTATTGCCACCCCAACTCACACACACACACACACACATGCAGCTGACAACGCGTCTGCGGTTCCCACGTATGGGGGGATTTCCAAGAAGCGGGCTCCTTCGCAGGTGTGAACCCGCATGCTGCTGGATAAATGGGAGTCCTACTGGAGGGAATCTGCCCGGGAAATGGGAAATTGCTTATTTAACTATAATTAGATTAAGTGGGCCCGACACTTGGCCAGCTGCATTATGCAGAAGGAGGGGGGGGCAGGTGAGTCCTTCAGAGCCAGTCAGTCAAGCAAGAGCCACTTGGTCGTATTTGAAGTTTTCATTAGACCTGGCCGCAGTTGACCCAGGAACCAAAAAGTTGCAAAGTCTACTCCTGGCCACATGCCAACCCTCGTTCTGGCAAACAAAAGTCCTTGCCGAGCCTTGTTTACACACAGCCAGGCTACGGCTCCGGCTCAGACTGTGGCGAATTTTTGTGCAGCCACAGCAGAAAGTGGAAAGGATGCGGCCAAAGATGGGCCACGGCACGGGGTGTGGGGGTGTGTGGAAAATGCATTTTCATTTTTCTTGATTTCGCGCATAAAATGCGCATAAGCCTATATGCCCATAAACATTTGGAGCGATGAACTTTGCCTAGGGCCGGGCACAAAACATGGCATACTTTTTTGGGGCAGCCGCTGCAGCCAGCTCGTTGGTATCCTGGCTCCATCCAGCTCCGACTCTGGGCCCTTATGCTCGTTGTGTGGCCCGGGCCGTAAAAATTTATTACCCTCCGTCAGTGTTGATGCATGTTTGCACACATGTAACAACATCTCGGTATTTATTGCCCGAAAAACAATATCAAACTGGGCCGTGCTGAGCGGGCATTATCTTTAAGCCGGCGCCGCCGCGAGCTCTTTAAATTCGAGGCCGACAATTAATCGGATGTGGACATGGACGTGGACGTGCAATTGCTCGGAATTAATTGTCAAATCAAATAAACAAATTCAATTTGTAAAAGTCAGCCGCATTGCCAGCACAATTGATGAAGTATTTGGCCCGGCCCCGCCTACTATTCCATTTCCATTCGCCTGTCAGGATTCTAGCGAGGACTCAGCCCAGCCTCCAAAAGCCCAACAATGGCGAAATGAAAATGCCAAAACATCATCATTGCCCGGATCCCGTTTCGGGCCTTTTCAGTAGTCCCCATTGTTGTGATTATTATTATTAATAATTCGGCATTGCTGCAGAGACATTAATCATTTCCTCCTCCGCACGGCTCCTATCCCATTTCTCGGCAATATCTTAGTAATTTATCATTGGGGTATTTTTTGGTCTAGGCATTCGCCGTAGAATGTAATTTGAGCGCAAATGAATGAAATGGGAAGTAAAACATTTGATTGCCGGGCAAATTGTGCGGCCCAGGCCGGAGTCCTTTCCCGTCGTCGTCGTCGTCGTCCTTGCGGCAACTTATTTATAAAAATTCATTATCCCCCTCGATGCGCCTCCACAAACTGTGCTCTATCTCGTACAGCCACTCGTTTCACCTGGGAATTTTCCTAGCCCGGTGCTTTGTATATATTAAGCAAAGGAGGCACAGGTAAAGGTAAACTTTGGCCCACGTACAATTTGCATGCGAATTGGGTCAGGCGGGCACAAGCAACTGCAGCTAACAAATTCCTGCTGCCAAGACAATGGGAATCGCTTAACTTTTAAGCTACTCGAGTGTTCGCATCTTGAGCATTCAATGTGCATCATAATTGCCAACATTTTCTCGGTTTTCGTCTATTAACCTCAAGGAACAATTGCCGGGGAGACGCCCAAGATTTCTTTGTTTCTGACAAGGCCACGTTAATGGATTTTTGGGGGCGCACAATTACTTTTCCATTCAAGATGAAGAATAATCCCCAAGCAGAAACTAATTTAGTGCTGCTTGAATGAAAATATTCGAGAGAAACGAGCATTTATCGCAGAAAGTGTCCCAGTGGAAGTTATTATCGGTTAAGTTTGTGAACTTTTATGGTTGAAAATTGAACAATTTATTAAATTTTATGCCAAGCTGGAAGTAATTAGAAGTTATGAGCCGTGTGAGTTGGGGTTTTGCTGTAATTTAATTAAACATAAACATCAATTATGTTTTTAAATCTATTTATATTTTACTTTACAAATATGTCTGGGCAGCTGTCTATATTTATCTTCTATAAAACCATATGCTTTAAGTCCTACATTTTCTTCAATTTCAAACTATATATTCAGGTTGAAAGAGGACCAAAGTCCTTTGGTCTCTAGCTAATCTTGCATCCTGGCTCGTTCAGACTGTAGATTATTATTTGCGCTTGATTGCATGCAATTTGCTGGCTGCTAATGTCAACAGCTTCTTGGGCCAAAGTGTTGGTTTATGGAGCCCAAAATGAGCCATCTACTTGGCATCTCCATCTTGTCAGCTACGCATTCAAATTGCCTTCAATTCCAGCTCTCCATCCCCCCCGCTTTCCGGAGGAGGAGCTGCAGCAGCTCTTCCGGAGCTCCGGTTGTGCAATTTGTTTTTCACTCGCCCCTTGCCAGGTTGACTAAGCCAGGTAGCGCTCACGCTTGATTACATTCGCGTTGGTAAACAAATTTTTCCAAGGAGCATCAACAACACCTTTCTTAATATAAGTACTCTTGCCAAGGGTATTATAAATTGGCAAAGGCAGGGAACTAAAAAGGTTCTCATCTTATATGAATTGGGAAAAAACTAAAAGAAAAGACAAAATAAAATTATAATCATTTTTTAAAGTATTTTTTGGGCTCCATTGTCTAAATTATAAACAAGGAAATGGCTTAAATTCAATATCAAAAAAATACAAATCTCGTTTAAAAGGATATGCCAAGGACTATAATATTTCTAGTTTGAAAAACTGTAAGGGCATACAACCTGCGACTTCCCCAGGTACGCTTTCTTGCTCGATTTATTTTTACCTTTGCTTCAGCACTTATCCTGTCCCTCGTCCTTGGGCCGTCTGATGGGTCCTGTTCTCCTCTTGTCGCTCAACTTGAGTGGGACAGGGACACATAATTTAATTTACAATTTGCTCGCTTTATCAGGGCGTTTGGTAATTTGCCTTAAATTCAAAATTAAATCGAGTCGGGGCGACAACTCGCAGTCGCCTGAAGTTATCTATGTTCATATAAACATGCTTCCACGGCCGACACCTAGTTGGAAGTATCCTCCTTTGCCATTTTTCTGAAGTCGAGTCGAGTTGAGTACATAAACTTGGTAATTTAAGCAATTGGAGCGGCTGCTGCAGCATTAAAATGTCAAAAATATTGCGGCCAGGGCGGAAGGAGGAAGGAGGCAGGACCAATGGGTGGCGGAAGAGGCGGCACAGACGGAAGGCGATGTTTGTTATGTTTATGATTCTCTGGTCAACTTGGCGCTGTTTTGTTTATCACTCGCCGCGCTCTCCATTTTATATTATTTTTTTCTCTTTATCTCGCTCTGCTCCTTGCCCGGGAGGCGTGTAATAGAATTTTCACTGGCGTTGAAAAGAAACAGGCAGCAGTGGAAGAAAAACACACAAATTTATGGAATTTTTAGTGCACAATTTTTTATTTGCATAAGCGCATAAAAATTCTGGCATAACAACAAACTTGTTTGCACCGACAATGACAGCAGATACAGCACAGTGGAGCTTACAATTAAGCGACTAAAATGGACTGACAAATAAAAATGGGTAAAGACATTTCCTGTGGTTTCTTCTTCTTTTTAGATATTAGAAATCTCCCTATTCCTAACAAAGAGCTCTTTAAGTAGAGAAAGTAATCACATTATAGTTTATTTTCAGCAAAAACCTTTCATTACTACTCAAACCAATCCTCTTTGAAGATCATAAAATATATATAAATGCCCATTATGGCCAAAATGAATTGCTTTTTGAGAGCCTAGAACCCTATTGACTTGATTGTTTTCACTCCACTGTGTTCACTGACCTGCTGTTTGCTGTTTCCGCGTGAGTGGCATGTCGAATATTTTATATGCACATTTCTTTTTTGGGCATTCAAATGAGTTCCAGCCTGGCTGGGAGTTATGCCCGCCCACTAATGTGGGCGTGGCCGGGTGCATGCAGCCGTTTCGTAGTCATTTGCATTTCCGCAAATGTAATATTTATGACGCTCTGGGTGTCTGGGTGTGGTGTGTGAGTTTGAAGGCGACTTGTCAGTCTGTCAAGTTGCTTGCTGGATCACTGCTCCTGCATGCGTGGAAACTTATATTCAGAACCCTCGTTCATAGTCCTGGCAGCACTAAAAGATTCATAACCGAGTCGGGGCTGACCGGAGTGCTTTATGCTGGCTGAAAGTCGTTTGTCCGTGCGGCTAAAACAAACACGCACACATGTTGTGGGGAAATCAGAGATCAAATAAGCTCATTGAGGGCACTCTTCCGCACCAGAGGCTCTTAGCCAAATGCATTTTGCTAATATCAAATGCGATAAAAATGCACCGAACAGGAACGAAGCCCAAAATCCAAAGGCAAAGGCTAAGGCAAAGGCATGCCGCACTCAGATTTTGTGCTCCCAAGGATAACGTCTTGCCGGAGCCCAGTTAACCCATCCATCCGTCCTTCCATCCATTCGGCCATCCCTCCCCCAACTGCTGATGTGTGACAAGGGTTCTGACCCGAGAGCAAACTAATTACCCGGCCAATTGCCAAGACAAAGAGGTAAGCACTTGCTCACACTTGACCCCCACAGCTCAAGCCGCTCGGCAAGCCAATTTGCACATAATCGAATTGAAAATTTTATAATCACGTACAGAGGAAGCGAAAGGCAGCTCACTCGCTCGGCGGGTGGCCGAAAGTACTGCTAACGTGGCTCACACGCTCCGAGAATGCTCGTAACATGCATATTGTATGGCTTCCTTAAGACCATGAAACCTGCATAGCTGGCTTAAAACTGCCAGCAAGTTTCAAGAGCCCGGGCCCGTAAAAGTAATCACTTCAGTGGCCTGCGACCAATTTCAGGCCAGCCTCTTTTCACCATCTCCCTCCATTTCGATTGGCCTATTTTGCTGTGTCGGATAATGGGCCAAACTTCTGATTATCGGGCTCAGGCTCTGAGACAAATCATGGGTAATGGTTATGGGATGTTCAAAAACTGTTGCATATATTAGAGATTGCCGGGATATCAGTCAAAAAAGGTTGCTTCTCTTTGGTTTGAGTGTCAGAAATAAGCCATAAAAGTTGGAAAGTATATTTTGAAAACATTTATTAAATTCCTTAAACTCAAAATGTGCTTGAAAAATAGTGGAAATTGGGTTCATTTCATATTTAATAAGTTTTCTGAAAAGTTTTAAGCTTAGCTGAATAAGGAGGCTTTAGTTTTCCGCATTAAAAACTAACTTTAATTGCGGAAAACTCAAGAAAATAAAGTGAAAATAATAGCATCATTTAAAGTTTTAGGCTCAACACTTTTTATACCCTGGCAGGGTATTATAATTTCAGTCAGAAGTTTGCAACGCAGTGAAGGAGACGTTTCCGACCCTATAAAGTATATATATTCTTGATCAGCATCAACAGGGGAATCTTTCTAGATATGTTAGGAAGAAATCGATTTTTTGGCCATTTTTACCAAATTTTATAATTTGCATCATTAAAATTTTTGATTTTGATAAAAAATTAAATTTTCAAAATTTTTAAATGAAGTATGCAGATTTATTAACTGTAGAAAATCTTGCACAGAACAGTTTTCCGATTTAAAATTAATGCTCTTTTGGCCGAGCTATGATATTTTTAATTTTAAAAAAATCAAGAATTTTTTTAATATAAAAAATCCGATTTTATAATACAAAATAATATTTTTCTAAGTCAAGGAATCATTTCCGACCCCATAAACCATATATATTCTTGATCAGCATTAACATGCGAATCTTTCTAGAATTGTCCGGAAGAAATCGATTTTTTGGCCATTTTTGCGAAATTACATAAGGGGTTACATCATTATAATTAGCAAAAATGGCCAAAAATTTTGATTTCTTAAAATTTTAAATTTGGTAAGCAGTTTTTTTAAATTAATGAAAACTAACACAAAACTGCTTTCCGAATCGAAATTAATGCATTTTTGGCTTAGTTATGATATATTTTAATTGTTACCTGCAAGGGTATACAAACTTTGGCTGGCCAAAGATAGCTTTCTTTCTTGTTTTTAATAGAAATTTAAAATACAACCTACATAGATTATATAATTTAATGGTTTTCCAAAGCTTATAGTTAGTTTTAATAATTATTTATTAATATTCAGGCACTTTATCTCGGTGTTATGTTATGAGAAATCAAAATTAAATCAACAAGAAAATATAATTTCCCTTACAAATTTCTCTTAGAATAAGGACTTCAACTCACCCACTACGTTGAATGTGTAGGACAGAGACATCTTGGGCTCCGTGTTGATTTGGCACTCGTAGACGCCGGAGTCACGTGGCTGCGGATACTTGATTTGCAGTGTCCAGTTGGCGGAGCCATCGGGTCGCAGAACCTGCGGGGTTAACAACAGATGGATATCCTTAGGGGTTCCGTTTCAACCGGAAGTGGTGACACACTCACCTGGAAACGCTGATCGGACGTGTAGGTGGTGCCGCCAGCGGTGAGGATATGCAGATCACGTTTGCGTATCCAGGAAACCTGCAATGAAAACAAGAGGGGATCGGAATGAAGTGCTTTTCTCAGTCGCAGGACCGCTTGCTGCTGCTGCTGCTGCTAAAAGTTTGGGGAGCATTACAAATTCCGTACTTAAAACTTTTTTCCCACCCGTGAGTTTAACGTGTTTTGTCTGCTGTTCTCGCTCACCAACTCCAGCAGCGGAACAGGATGAGGATGAGGTGGCAAAATGAAAACAAAGCGCAAAGTTTACTTTCCTCTTATTTTTTTCGTGTTCTGGCGTTGGTTAATCTTTAGCATTTTGCTTTTTGTTTCAGGCATTTAATCAGCGGACAAACAAAGCCAAGCCAAGTTGGGTGCGAGCACCTCGGGAAGTTGCCTGCCGCCGAGCCAAGCCAAAGCCAAAGTACATTAGAGCGTAAAAAGGCCGGCGTTACGTATACGCCGCGTTGCTAGGAGATGAGAGATGCGCAAAATGGCCCTCGACAATTGCAGACTGTGTAAGCCAGACGACACTGGCCAAAAGGTCAGTCTGTCAGTGGGTCGTCGGTCCAATTTTGTCAAAGCTGCTTGCTCAGCCCGATTTCCAATTGTTTCAAATAGCCTTCAAACCTTTTCGAGCCGAGAAAGCGGGAATGGGGTAGGGAAAGCCCAGAGAAAGGCCCGCAATGAGACAGCTTTGACGCCATTTTCAGCCTTTATTTGGAAGCATTTTTATTATTGCTTGAATTACATTTTCATTTGATTGCCTAGCGCCTTTGCCTTCGCATTCCCATTCGCCCTTAGCTGGAAAATCTTTTGGGGAAAGCCATTAACCATGATTTTGTGTGTCTCTCTCTCTCATTCTCTCCCCAAAACTGTCCGTGATTTCTTCGGAGCCCACAGACTTTGTGCCCTTTTTGGCACATTGTTTCCAATTTATTTGATGACCTTAGTTTCCGTTGTTGTGCCCTTCTATTGTGATACTCAATTTTAATTACATGGAAAAAGTTTCGGCCTCCCTCTCCCGGTGGAAACTTTAAATGTTTGCTGGCTGTCAACATTAAAGTTGAAAATATGCTACCTCATTAATAAATTTAATTACCTTTGCCCCCGTGGGGCTTGGGGTAAATTGAGGTGGCCATTCATTCAACTATTTGCCAATCGCTTGTGGCGTCGTGTTTTTCGAAAGCCAAATGACCGGCCAACTATTGGCCATCTAATAAATTCATTCGATTTAAGGCGGAATCGTCGTCCCGACTGTGGAAAAATCGGTCACGTAATACGTAAAAATAAAAATCATTCGCTTGTAAAACTTTTATGCGCTTGCCGCTTTTACGCCCCTCCGGATCATAGGCGAATTGTCTCGGCCAAATGTAAATTAAACCGCTTCAAGGCGGGGAAAAACGAGGGAAAACTGGAGGGAAAACCGCCTTTCGCGGACCGTTGGGGGAAAAAGGTCAAATCTCGGCAGACGACATTGCCAGAAGTTAAACCCAGTTCAGCAGCGATTTACCCGTTCGATTCGATTTACCCGGCCAATTGTCGCCCGGCCCTCGGTGCGTATGAGTAACACTGGGCGTATGAGCCATGTCATAAAGCAAAGGCAATAGCGAAATCGAAATGAACTGTAAACGCGACAGGCGGCACAAACTAAATAACTATCGAAATGGAAACGAAACCGGGTCGCCGTAAGCCCCCGCTCAATTATGTATTCCAGGCCAGCACTTAAATATTTAATTTTCCAGCTGGAAAACGGTTAAAATCAAAAGTGAAAAGTTTTACAACTCCACCCAGGACGAGGCAGGCAGAGCTTAAGCCGTGTTCCCAACGCTATCCCCTGTCAAGAAGTTGTCCCAATCTCTGCCGCACGTCGGATTTCCCCGGCTTGGGACAGGTTGGAGTCCCCCGTGAGTGGCGAAAACTTTGCTCTGGGTATAATTTTCGTAATGTCTTTAGGTTTAAATAAATACCACAAGCATAGTTTTATATTATTTAACACTTTGTGTTCGCTGCGGCCAGAAACTTTCGCTCTACCTCGCTCTACCACTCTCCTTCGACTCTTACTTTCGCTTTGTTTTTCTGTCATCTAGCAGCACGGCCAAATGAAAGAAGTTTCAGCTGAGGTTGCTCTCTATACCATATATATATATATATATGTACAAAAATTTATATATACATGGGTGTGTGTGTATACTTGAGATGTGTGTTTGTGCGAGCGTGTGGAAAACTTGGCGAAAATACATTAAAAACTTTGCTGACGCATTTTCTGCGTCTCTAACCAAGAGAGACTTTAGACTTGGCCCAAACTCGACAGAGCCAAAAATAGTTGCAGTGGCAGTTGCCGTTGCAGTTGTTAGTTTGTTGCCACTGGCTTTGTCCGAGCTTAGAAAATGGTGTGAAAAACTTTCATTAAGCGCTGCGAAAAGCGGTTCGAATTCGCAAATTACAGGGGCTTCGCCTAATGAACTTGATCCAAATTAAATTGTTTGCCTTTAAAGCCAGCCGAGTCGAGTCCCCCGTCCCGGGTTTGACAATAAACAAATGGAGACTTCAATGGCAGCATTTTGTAAACAAAGTTGTAAACAGATTTTGATTTCTTTTTTTCCGCTGCCGCATTTCTGGGAAGGATACTGGCTGGCTGGTTGTCTGGCTGGCTGGTTGTCCTGTTGGCATTAAAAAGGGTTCGCTGCCTTTTTACAAAGCCTAAAACTTTGTTTAATATACTTTTTTTTTTCTCCAGGCTCAGCCTTATTGTTGCCGCTTTTGGTATTACACGAGTAAATTGCTCGTGCTCATGTTCGCTGATGTAGCCGTGGAGCGTTTATGAAAATGTTGGCGGCACTCGGCGCGCAATAAATCAACAGCGAACGGACAATCCTGTGAAGTCAAGTTGAACAAGCGGATTCATCGCCAGCTTCCGGCAAGGGCAGTCGAAAAACAAGAATGAAGGACGAATCATCGGGGACCGAATTGTAAAGCACCCTACCAGGGTCAGCCTGGGGAATTAAGTATCTTTTGTTGATAATATATAAAGGGTGATATGGGAGACATTTAATTGGATTCTTTGTTATATCTTTAAAATATTTTATGGAGGAATTGGAAAGGATAAGACTCCCATTGCCTTAAATATAATTTTCAGAGCTCTCAAATAATTTAAACTAATTATAAATTTCAAGGAGAGACCCCTTTAACTTATACATTTCTTCCAAATATTTTATCCCATAGAAAATTCCCCCCAAAAAAGAGCATAAAGAGCATCACAGCGGTGGCAGTGTCAGCTGATATGAAAATAGCACCGAAACCCTCGAACAACAGATCCCTCGATCCCTCCGCATTCCCGCCAGGAAAACTCACGGTTAACGAACTAACGGCACGGGCATAAATTACCCGAGGAGCCTGCTCTGCGTGGAGTGGCGCGTAATGGAAGCCAAGCGCCGGCAAAGTTATTTGCCGTAACTGTTACACTTTCAATTTTGAGTTTATGGGTGCAGCGAAGAAGGAGCAGGAGCAGGAGCTGTCCCGAGGAGCCAGTTTTTGCGTGGGCACTGACAGCGCGGTTCCAGTCTGTCAATTACAATTAATGTGGGCGACTTGGCTGCGGGACAAGTTTGTTTTCCAGCCAGCGCATGCTTAACTGCCTCCATTAGGCCATGCATCTTCCCAGGAAAGGGGAAAGTGGCCTTCTACATTGACTTGAGGGTGTCGATGAAAGAAAAATAGGTCACCATCATCGTTCGGTATCGCGAAAATGTGTTGGTAATTAAAATTCATAAATCATAACAGTATACTATTTTCCAAGGTATAGTTGTTGAAGATTTCTAACCGATTAAATTAATAATATATGTCAAATTTAATGAAACATGATTTTAAATAATTTTTTTTACGGTTCCCGATCCCTTCTTCATTTCTTTTCTTTAACATTTAGATATACTTTCGTCTTAAAGCAAGTACTCCTTGAGTTTGATGACAGGTAATACTTTCATCCAAAACAAAGTGAGAAGAAAAGCAGCCTTTCTTACTTAACAGAAGATGTTTTAAAATTTCTTGTTTATTTCGGTAATTACCTGCGTAAAACTCGTTATACAGAAAAACAAATGGAGTGCGAAAAGTGTGGTAAGTACCACTTTTGATAGCCAATCGTTTCTATTTAAAATCCCGCAATCTCCGCCAGACGCAGACATCAGAGATGTTGCGGATATCAAGCCAGATACCACCACCCTAGAGATGGAGCTCGAGGAGGCGCTATCCTCGAGCAGTGCCGACGATACTCCGCCGGGCATGATAGTGGTGGAGACGCCTATCAGTCAGTGGGACCTGAAGCCTCATCGGTCCAAAGACAAGGTATCCGTTCCGGAACCAGAAGTAATCGAGACACCCGCCTGCTCCGTGTCCCTGGGCCTCAAGTCGAATGACCAGTTTAAAAAGTTGCCGCAGCCCAGCCACCCAATGGTCAGCACCGAGGCCGCCCTGGCCGCCGCCACTTGCTCAACCTATGGACCGCCCACGCCGCTGCCCAAGCCCGTTTGCATAATCAGTGGGACGGAGTCCATAGCCACGTTGCGTCATTGCATCGACGGAACCACGCAGTGCAACAACCTGGGCCTGGGATACGAGTCGGCATCTAACGAGTCGGTGCCCTCAGTGGGATCGCTCGTCTGTCGCATTTGTCACAACGCCGATAACCCAGAACAGTGAGTATATAAATCTATATAGTATATCTATATAGTAGTATATACCTGGTACGCCTTTATGGACTCTTTAGATATCTCTTAAAATATTTATAAATATTCTGTTCAACCTGTTCTTCAAAGACCTGACAATTATATCTATATCTATTGTCATTTTAACCATGTAGTTGTAAGCTTATTGACTTAACTTTTTTATTATTTAAGCTTTATTTCTCTTACATTCTTTATGATATTCCTTACATAAATCATTTCATTTCCTTAAATCAAAAACAGGGTACTGTAACTTCCATTTAATTACGAAATTACAAACGTGCAGCCGCAAATTGTGCAATAAATTAATTGCATGGCATTTAATGTATTTAGCGCACGGTCAGCAAGCAAGTGCATTTATTTATTTTAATAATTAAAACTGAACACTGCACACAGCAGAACAGAACAGAGTAGCTTCCTATGGTCCCTTTCCACCATCGAACACTTTATCCCTGATTATCTGGTTGGCTGTCGCTTTTAATCCCCTGATTTTTCATTGTTTCCGCTGTTTGCCCATTAACCCACCCCTGCCTGTGCCGCCTCCGATTTGTTTGCAGACTCGTGTCGCCGTGCTTGTGCAAGGGCTCCCTGACATATGTCCATGTGCACTGCCTGGAGCGTTGGATTAGCACCTCGCGCTGCACCACCTGCGAGCTGTGCCAGTTCCAGTACTCCACGGAGCAGACGTTGCGGTAAGTTAAGAGCTCGAGCTATACTGGAAAAAAATACTTATGTCATTTGAAAAAGGGAAATTGTTTTTAGAGAGCTTATTTATGAATATCCCTGGTATTTCTTCGAGTGTGGTTGGCCCTCGACAGTTGGTAGGTGCCACTCGAAGCGTCAGCAGATAAAAGACGCCTGCGGCTCAGATCTTTTTAATCAGCTGAGCTGGCTTTGCCTTTTGCTCCTGTTTCTGTGGCGCCTCCTAATTGCTAGGCTAGCTTTGTTAGTCACTTTGTGCCTCTGTGTTTGTGGGATGTTCACTTCACCTGCCAGCTTCCGTTGCAGGTACACCTGCCTGCAGTCGCTGCGCCTGTGGTATTCGCGGGCCATGAGTCGCAGGGCTCTGCAGGAGGATTGCCAGATGTTCTCCCTGCTCACCCTGGTGGCCTTTGGCATCATTGGAACCCTGCTGGTGGGCATCCAGTACTATGCCATGCATACCCACTCCTGGGGCCTGAGCAAGCTCTGGACCAAGTCGTGGATGCTGTTCTTCCTGTTCATGACGGTGATGATGATCCCTTTTCCATTATCTAAGCTCCTAAAATGTGCCTGCCCCTAGATTACTGTCTACTTTGCCAACATCTATATGCTGATCAAGTCCCAGCTGACGCCGTGGTATCGGTGAGTTTAATTTCCAATTATAATGTCAAATACTATATTATATTCTCTTAGCTGGTGGCAATCTGCGCGGGACATCAAACTAATCCTGGAGAATCGACGACCCTTCCCTAATCCAAGCCGCCTACTAAAGGCTATCCAATTGGAAACGGCCTCGACGACAGCCTCCATGTTCACCCACCATGATCAGCTCGACATGCCTGCCAGGAACACTTCCCTGACGATCACCTCCAGCGATGATGAGCCTGGGGACGACAAGTCACCCCAGAAATGGGGCGCCCGCCTGGACAGCGAGGTATTAGCCGCCGTGGTGGCTGCCACCGTGCAATCGATTGCTGACGCCAGTGCCATCGAGTGCGACCAGAGGCAGGAGCAGGAGGAGCAGGAGCAAAGGCAGAAGAAGCATCATCATCAGCAACCTCAACCTCGACCGGATGGCATCCACTGAAGGGCCAATGACAAATACTGGACTTGGTCTCCGGGGAAGGGTGAACGGTTGCCTGGGCTGGGCAAGTAATTAAGGCTCAAGGGCAAGGATTTAGCTTGGCTTTCGCTGTTTGCGTGTCATTTGTTTAATGTAGTTTCAATGCTTTTAATGAACTTTTCCAATGAGAGCTTGAATTAAATGGGTAAACTTGAGTCTCAGTCCCAGCTGATGATGATGATGATGATAGTGATGGTAATGACGGTGCTCCTGTTCCTACTCCTGTTCTAGTTGCTCTTCCTTTTCCTGTCTCGGTTCGTGCCTGCACTTTGGTTGCTTCCTCCAAGGCGCACAACTTCCGGTTTCCGGCCTCGGCTTACGCCTCATCCTTTCGCCTTCGCTCCTCCCCCTTTAACCTTAAAACGGGCAAATTAAAGCCGATAACACGGGCGCACGAGGCTGATGGCTGAGCCAGTCACGTGATTGATGGCTCATAAATTAGTCATTTTGCTTTAGCAGTCTATTTGAGAGTGTGTGAGTGTGGGGGGAGGGTGGAAGGAGGCATTCGGGGGCACTCGTTAAGGCTGGCAACTCCCACAGGACGTTGCTCAGTTGTCGCCTGTCTTGTTTGCCAATTTTTCTCCGCAGCCTCGAGTGCAGCCTCGAAATCACCCGGTAATTTGGTCTAGGCCCCCCTATTACCATCCCGATTGCCTGCCTCTCTGCCATTTAATAACAGCACGAGTCCTGCTTGCTAATGCACACTGGTTCAAGGACCGAGCGTGAGTGCCTGAATTTTGAATGATTGGACTATCTGTCACCACCCAGGACCAGGAACAGCACCACCGGCCACAAAGACTAAGCCTGGCTAAGAGAGAGAGCCAAGCCGAACAGAGCTGGCTGGCCAAACTGGCCGCCCACCTAATATGCCCGTGATGTTGACATATTAGCCCCGGCAACGCCCACATTTTGGCTGGAAAGGGTTAACAACCCAGTGCGACCTTCAATCATTTCGCCCTGAACTGGAGTGGACCCAACCGAACCGAAACGTAGGAGCCGAGGCCCCCTGTTTGGGCAATCACAGGCCGAATGATTGAGTGCCTGCAAATCCCAAGCGGAATTTTCATTTATTTTGCACAATTTCCATATGTTAAGCCATTGACTTTTATACCCTTTTTTTGGGAAGGATATTAAAGCTGACTGGGTTGACTATCTAGGAATATTTTCTGAAGTTGGGAGAAAATATTTAGAGTAAAGTTAAAAATAAAGACTAATTATGGAAAAGGTAAGCATATAATATTATTTAAAACTATTAAAAAATAAATGAATTCGGCTTGGAACTTAAGAGTTCTTTGGCCAAAGTTTTTAATGATAATTATAAACATATAATAAGAAAAACCTAACATCAAATTACTATTTATTATAAAATTATTTGAATTTATTATTTATTATTAAATATTTTTCTATTTTCAAAGCGCTTCAATATCCCAATCAGAGTATTTGCCCAAAAGGTATTACCCCCAAAATGCCTTTAGGGTTTTTTAGCTTTTCAACTGGAACTTTGTACTTACATCCTTATCGCCGAGCCGCTCCACGCGGCAGTGGAGGAAGCCGGTCTGGCCGACGGTTACGGTCAAGTTGCGCGGCACATCAAAGTCGAAGTAGGGCAGCAGGTTCGAGGGCGAGACGGTGGTGGTCGTCGTTGTGGGCGGCGTGGGCGCAATAGCCGCGCTGTAGCCTAGAAATAGGAAAGAGAAAGCAGAATGGTTCAGAGAGCTGCGGCATAAAAAAACTTGTGCCAAATGGAAATTTATTTTCATTTTCATTCGCACATACGCAGCGGCGTATTGTTGGTTTTTAGCATGGCCCCGATCCCTGGCCACAACTTTTGGTGGCTGCCAAAGCCCTAACTGAAACTGAAAAGTAATAAAATTCGCATAAAAATTCTGCTCAAAACCGAGGCAGAAAAAACAAATAAATGAACGCTGAGAGGAATGGACCAGTATATGTGTGAGTGGCACACAAAAAAACAAAAATCCTCAACAAACAATTATACTTTCTTTTTTATTTCTTTGGGCATTTGTTTGCTACTTTGTGAGTGCTCGCTGAGAGAAAAGGAGGATGAGAAGGGACTTCAACTTGAAAATATTCAAAAAGGCCGGAATCGATGATGTCCTTTTCAAGCCATAGATATGGTTTACTTAAGGTTCAAGCCTCGTCATAATGAAGCAAGTAAGAGATTATGCCTGAACATAGCATACATTTCCATGACAAATATGGCAATAATAGGGGTTTTGAACCCAATCGAACTTCCTTTAAATAAAACATTAGAAATATTAGGAATTATATTGGAGGGTTCTTAATATAAGTTTGTAAGTAAGTAAGGTTCTTCAATTTTAAATGATTTATCAGATTTTATGATTTATTAAGAAACTGATATAAAAAGGTAGGTATTGCTAGAAAAAAGAACTTATCGAAAGAATTATATGCTCAATTATTTGCTCTTTTGTTCTCCGTCAACAGAAAAGATGCTAATTATGATGGTAAAAATGTTTTCCGGTCATCAGCACACTTTCGACAAGTTTATGGCCATGGCAAAAGTTGGCCCACTAAATATGTCAAAGCAGGACAAAAGTTGTGTCCTGCAGCCGCTAAGAGCCAAGTTAGATAACGGCCTGGACTCCGGGGAGCCGGCAGGGCAGGCAGGCAAAAACGGGGTGAAATAAGTTCATCAATTCGTGGCGCCCAGGCAGCTGTGGCTCAAAGGAAGACGGAAAAGCTGGGAAAAAGTTTCGCACATCAAAGCCCGGTACAAATCGGCGTAGATCGCATGCAGCCAACTGGAATACGAATAATTGAATGAGGCGATACGCGACGAGCTCTCCTGCTGGCTGCTCTTCCTTGATTTATCGAACTCCTCCGGCTGAACTGAACTGAACTCAACTAACTGGCAGCCGGGAATCAAAGAGCTACCGCTATCCATCGCCCGGAGACGGAGGAAAACTGCTGTTGCACATTTCCGTTTCCGCACGCGCCAAAAACGAGGGGGTGCAAAAAATAAATCGAAAAATCGAAAAAGAAGTGAAAACTTTCGCCAAGGCACGCACACACACACACACACTTGCACACTCACACAGAGACAGCTGGAAAACATACGCAAACTTTTCCACATGCGTAGCAACGTGAAAACATGAATCGACGCCACCACAACCATAGCACTGGCGGTTGCGTAGGTTCGGGATGTGGGAAAGCTGGGCTTCTGTGGGACATGACAAATTTTACGATTTACTCGCACTTTTTTTCAAAAATTTCGAACACAAAGTTAAATTTAATGCGCACCCGCAACATTTGCGTACGTGCGGCTTTCCATCTTCGGGCAATATGCAAAACATTTCAGCATAGATAATAATGTAAGAGGAGCATCGGGGAAAAGTTTGACTGGAAAGTCGAATGGGAGATGCCCTTTTAATATGACATATCCCAAAAAGATATATCGACAAAAATAGTAAACATTATATAGAAAAATCTACACAATTAATTTTATAGTTTTAAGTAATCAATATATATTATTTGTGGTTTGTAATTACCCACAAATATAAATATAATTTTAATTATGTTTTATTTTAAGCGTTTTAAAATGTCTCCATTTGTTTTATATAAACGAACATTTTCCTAAATAATTGCACAGTATATTAGAGTATTTTTTCTGAAAGATAATCATAGTTTGCTACTCATTTTAAATGCTGCATCCTCCCATATATTATGTTTATTGTGCTTAAGCTGGGTTAAGCGCAGCTTATTCTAACTACATAAAGACCCGCTAATACCCTACCGACCTCCACTTCCCCCTCCCGCAGATGAGAGATAGGTAACAGGGTATCAAAAGCGAGCGAAAATTAGCTTAGAAATGCTGCACGTATGCGTGCGTGGCGCATAAACGGCGCGGAAAAGCGTGGGAAATTCGCTGGGCGGAAAACGCGCAGCGATGCGGCGGCAGAGGGAAAAGCGGCGGCAACTGAACTTAATTTATTGTTTATCAGCGAGCATGCAATTTATGGCAAAGATTTTCACATACAACATTTTTAGGCCCAGCCAGAGCCCAGCCCCCCCTCTTACCAATTTTGTTTTGTGCGCGTTGTGGAACTTTGGGCTAATTTTAAGTTTATGCATGGAAAATTTGCTCACGCTGTGAAAATTAACGATGCGGCGGCCGGGAAATATGCCTTGCCCAACTTGTCGATGCCTCCGATTTGTTGTTAGCCGGTTTGTTTGTTGTTTGCTGATGGCTGTTCGTTGCCGGCTGTTGGTTGTTGTTTGCCGCCCTGCCATTCTGGGCCGCTTTGGCTATCGATAACGGCCAAGCCGGCAGCTGGCTGCTGTCAGATTTTGGCTTGGCCTTTAAGCGTGCGCTTAATCAAAAACGCTCGGCGCCTGCAAATTAACATGATGCATGGCCCGGCCAAGGGGGGAAGGTCCTGCCTGCCTGCCTGCCACGTCCTGAGCTGCGGTTGAAGGACCCAAAATATTTGTCGACTTTTCAACCCGAAAATTAGCAAATGTGGTGGAAAATGTTTGCGGTCGTGTGTGTGTGGGGGTCATGGGGCACAACATATGAATATTTATGGAGCCAATTCGCGCCGAATGAACATAAATTTAAATTACCGAAAATCGAAGGCCAAACTGTAAAACTAAGGACGTTCTAATTGAGCGTAAAAACTCTTGGTGGGGGAGACAGAAAATATAGGAGATTTGGTTATTAATAAAAAAAAATATACAATTAAAAGCAGATAAGTTAATTTTCTCTATTTTAATCAAGATATTTTATGAACTGCATAGCCAAGAAGCCATCACTGGTGACTAATTACAGCCAGAACAATTACCAGAAGCCAAAAAGCAAATAGAACAAGAAAGGAAGCTAACTTCGGCACGCCGAAGTTTTTATACCCTTGCAGATTGGTTTCGATGTTTATATTATAGATTTAAATGCTGAAAACACTCACAAAACAGAGTTTCATTACATTTTACCTATACTTATTATGTTTACAGTTTGACAGTTACAGTTTTACATTCCCAGCTTTACATATTTTATACATTTGCCGATCGCTTCTATGGCAGCTATATGATATAGTTGTCCGATTTTTATAAAATTTATACCAAAATTCTAGAATAATAAAAAAAGCTTATAACTTAAAGTAGATGAAAATACGTTGAAAAACAACGAAGTTATATTTTTTTCGATTAATTTCCCGATCGTTCCTATGGCAGCTATAAGATATAGTCGTCCGATTTTCATAAAATTTTTACCAAAATTCTTAAATAATATAGAGTGGCCATATCTAAAAAATGGTGCAAAAATGTTGAAAAACAGCAAAGTTATAATTTTTTTTCTAAAAATATATCGAACATTTGTATGGCAGCTATATGATATAGTCGTCCGATCCGGCCCGTTCCGACATATATAGCAGTGAGAGCATATAGAAGACTATATGCAAAGTTTCATTCAGATAGCTTTAAAACTGAGGGACTAGTTTGCGTAGAAACAGACAGACGGACAGATGGACAGACGGACAGACGGACAGACGGACAGACGGACAGACGGACAGACGGACAGACGGACATGGCTAGATTGACTCGGCTGTTGATGCTGATCAAGAATATATATACTTTATAGGGTCGGAAAGGTCTCCTTCACTGCGTTGCAAACTTCTGACTGAAATTATAATACCCTGCAAGGGTATAAAAAACATCCTTAACAACACAATTAAAGCAAAATGATAAATTGACACGAGACTAGTGCTGTTTTTCTTTCGCTCTGCCTTTGGCCCAGTTAATCTCAATCGGCTGCCAACATCAGCATGTGTAACCAAGCGGAGACGAACGCCAGGAGCAGCCTTAAAGAAGCCTTGGATTGTCCATGATCCCGGCCACTTAAGGTTAAGTTTCACTGACATCGCCCTGACGCGCTGAGTGGCAGTCTGTCGATGCACTCAACGGGGTTCCTCTGGCTTCCTTCCCGTCTGGAGTTGGGAGTCTAGACTAACAGGACACTCACACAGCTGGAGCTCCTTAAATATGCTCCTCTATCGATTATGCCGGCAAAGTGTTTCCGTTTTGGCTCCAAGCGAGCGGATGTACATCTAAATATTTGTGCAGCAAATTGCTTCTGCCACTTTGCCACTCTATTTACTAGGGAAAATTAAATCAAAATGAAAATTTGACAGATAAATTTATTGGGCATCTAATCAGCAGAGCTCTGTTTGAATACAAAGTCAAAGAAGGACCGGGATTAAGCAGATTTGTCTTCCAGCAGATCGCGTTTTTTTAGGGACACTTTTTAAATAAGGTCCTTTGGGTCTCTGGGTTTTTCATATTCTTGTGTCGGGCAAAGTTTTTGTCGTGTGTCGCCATTTTTATGGCTGACAATGTCTGCTTTTCTGCGCTTTCCTCTGACTTTCCTCCGCCCAGTCATTTCATCACTCAGTTGGCATTATAAGTGCCGCATTTGGAATTTATGATTATTTTTCTTTCGCATTTCGTTCCCTCTTCCCTCTGTAGAGCCTGGCTAATGTGGCCATATGAATGCTTAAATACAAATACGCATACAAATCGGGGCCAACTATAAAAAGAGGCGGTCATGACTCACAATGAGGCACGATAAGTGAGAGCGGCGACATATTAGGCCATCATGTGTGTGTGGCTCGAGCAGAACTTCGTTAGACAGCAGCCCGGCGATGTCGC